TTAAAAGGGAGTTTTTCCTTCCCACTGTCGCCAAAGTGCTTGCTCATAGGGGGTCATATGATTGTTGGGTTTTTCTCTGTATCTATGAAGCGCTTTGAGGGGACTTTTGTTGTGATTTGGTGCTATATAAATAAAATTGAATTGAATTGAATTGAATTAGATGGAGAGTTCTCTTCATACACTAAATTTAATTATGGAGTTCCAGTGGAGTTCAGTGCTAGGACCAATTCTGTTTACATTATACATGCTTCCCTTAGGCAGTATCATCAGAAGGCATAGCGTACATTTTCACTGCTATGCAGATGATTTATTACTTCAAGATGTCCTAAAAACTCTCAACTCTGGATAGTCAGATAAGATATACCAGAACACCAATGTGCATTTTTAAAGGAACAGAAAGTGAAAGTCTACAACAAAGAGAGCACACAGTCATGGATAATATCTTCAACATAATTACCTGAGCAGGTGAGTTTCAGGATGTAGTCAAGCTGATCTGATATTGCACAATCCCTATTGGACAGAGGAGTTTTGGACACAATACAGGAAGACCTGATCAACCACACAAATTTGTATGAGGACTGTGCCGCTTCCATAGAAACAGCTGAGCCACAGTCCAGTTTTTCACACACAACAGCTGCTTCTTTCAGGGTCCAGGAATCATCAGAGTACACCATTGGTCTCCATTCTCTAAGACGTTTTAACTCCAGTGTACCTGCACAGCGACTGGGTCCTCCTACCAGCCTGACATCATCAGACTCTGAACAGAAAGCAGAGAGTCATCAATAAACAAATAAAGTGAGTTTGAGCAGATCAAAGCTGCAGCTCCTCTTCTACCTGAGCAGGTGAGTCCAACAGCTTTGCCAGGTGAGCAGCTGTTTCTAGCTGAGGCTGAGCTTCTACAGTCCAGGAGAGCAGACTCATGGCCTCCACACTGGAACTCTTTGCTCGACACTGAAGCCTCCACTTCTCCATAGAGCGCCCCCTGGAGGACCAAAGGAGGCCCACAGCCAAACTCCCTGCAGACCACCTCTGCATCCTTCTGGTCAAAGTCAGCTTCACACACTGAGGACCAGCTCTGGTTAGACTTCACCTCCAGTCTGCCTGAACACAGACTGGAACCATTCAGCAGCCTGACAGAGTCTGGAGACATCAGAGAAGATCAAACAGAGAGATCAGAGACAGCAGACACACAAGAAAAAGATGGCAGCAAACAACTATTCACTGATTCAACCTCAGCACAACTCCAAGATGACACTGGAAACATGTTAGCATCACAGTTAGATTTCATAATAAAAAAAAGCTGTAGTTGCAGCCCCAGCCTACTGGTTCCCTTTGTGGATGTGTAGTATTGTCCCTTTTTCTTGTGGAACCAGTAAAATCGGTGCAGCTGATGGAGGGACATGACATGGCCAGAGAGACAAATTTGTTGACATATTATATTTTACGTTTTTCTTTATTTTCCTTTTGATGATGATAGTGTATTATCCATCTATTTAAGCACTCATTTGATGGTTTTATTCACAAATCTCCTTCCTGTTTTCATCTTCCCTCAACATTTGTTCTGTGAAACCAGTACCCCAAAAGACACGGTCAGATAGAAAGCAGCAAGATACACAGAGCTTTTTTTCTTTTTTAATAAAGCAGCAAACTATTTCTCCAGGCTAATTGATGGTCTTCTAAATTTGTAATACACGATTTCCTCTCCAGCTTATGAGTTATCTGCTTTAAGGTCTGCATTTGAGGGTTTATACCTGGAAGTCAAGTGCAACCCCAATTCCCAATGAAGTTGGGACATTGTGTAAAATGTAAATAAATGCATCAACACTACATATGAGCGGGCGGAGGGAGGTTTTGGAGTCGTCTCACACCCCCGTTCTCTGTGACCTGCTGGAGCGGGGGGGCCGGGAGGAGGAGTTGGCCGTCCGACTGGAGTGTCGGGCCTGCGGAGTCGGGGCAGTCTGTTTCTTCCCACCGCAGGGAAAAAGGGTAACACCACCTGGGTCTGGGTGCAGTTCCCCCCTCCAGGGGCAAAGGTACCTAGACCCGGTTCTTAGAGTACGCTTGGGGAGTGTGATCGTGTGTACAGTGTCTCTCTCTGTCTGTCTCCACGTTGGGTGAGTGTTGAGTAATTGCATATGAGAGCATGAGGGTGGGAATGGATGTTTGTATCTGTGTGTAACTGTATGTCTGTGTCTATATGTCAGGTTGGGTATCAGACGCCACCTCTCTGGGGACATCTCAGGCCCTTTAAGGGATGGAGGCCTATCTCCCCCCACCACTTCCCCTGCCAGTGGCGGACTCCCTCAGACATCGGTGCGTTGGTGGTTCTTTGTGTCCCGGGGTGGGCGCCCAGGTACACACCAGCTCACTCCTTGGTGGATGCTTATCGGGGCCTGGAGCCTGGGGCTTCCTCGGGCCACTTTGGGGGTGGGGTGCCCCCGGCCTCTCGGCCTGGGGCTCGGTCACTCAGGCGCAGCTGGCTGCCGGCGGAGCTCACGGGTACGTCACTGCAACCCCCCCTGGCTTCTGCTCCGCGGCTGCTGAGTGACCCCTCATCTGGGACTCTCCTCAGCTCTTACTGGGACAGTGGCACGGCTGCCCCTCTGTTGGTCTTCCTTGGTCTCTTGTGTTCTGGGGGCCTCTGGATGTCTGGAGTCTTGATCTCCTCCATACCTGCTTCATGCCCTGGAGGACAGGTCTGTGGCTCCCCACACCCTCTAGCAGATCATTACATGGAGAAACCTTTTAAAAACAAGCGCGTCCATGCTCACAGGTGTACACACGGGTGCTCACACACACAAACGACACCCTTTTTGGCTCCTACCTCAAAGCACACTGTGCGCTGTCTATCTTACGTGCTGCACAATAATGTTTAATATTTAGTATTTACTATTATATTCCCATATATCATCGTGATGTTGTTTATTCTATTGCTCTCGTTTCCTTCTGCTTGTTTTCTTTTTTCTTTCTCAACAGGTGATCCAGGTGATTGATATATGCATTTTTTTGTGTCTTCTTACTTAGTTGGTTTTTGTTTTTTTGCCCTTTATCCCTGTCCCTTTTCTCCGCTGTTCCCCCCCCCCCTTCCTTTCTCCCTTCTCTTTTCCTCATTCAAGTCTGTCCCGTATCTAGCAAGTGAAAATAAAATAAAAAAATAAAAAAAACAATAACAGGTGAATCAAATAGACCATTACGGCAAGGCTGGGACGGTCAATTTGGTAAAGTAAATCTGTTGGGCATCTTTCCTCGCCTTTAGACAATAATTCTGATGGCAAAAGAACCAAACGGGACAGGCAAAAAAATATATATATGTAAATAAAAACAGAATACAGTGGTCCTTTCCAACGTATATTCAATTGAATACACTAGAAAGACAAGATATCTGTCTTCAAACTGACAAACTTTATTATTGTTTTGTGTTATTTTGAATTTGATGCCTGCAACCTGTTCCAAAAAAGCTGGGACAGGGGCAGCAAAAGACTGAGAAAGTTGAGGAATGTTCAAAAAACACCTGTTTTAAACATTCCACAGGTGAACAGCTTAATTGTCATGGTATAAAAGGAGCATCCCCAATAGTCTGAGATGTTCACAAGGAAGTATGGGGTGAGGTTCACCATTTTGTGAACAACTGATTGGACAAATTCAGCAGTTTAAGAACAATGTTTCTCAACGAACAATTGCAAAGAATCTAGGGATTTCATGATCAACTGTCCATGATATAATCAAAAGATCCAGAGAATGAAGAAATCTCTGCACGCAAGATGCAAAGCCGAATACCAACACTGGATGCCCGTGACCTTTGATCCCTTAGGTGCATTAAAAACCGACATCACTCTGTAAAGGATATTACCACATGGGCTAAGGAATACTTCAGAAAACCATTGTCAGTTAACCTAGTTCATCGCTACATCTACAGTGCAAGTGCAAGTTAAAACTCTACCATGCAAAGCAAAAGCCATATATCAACAACACCCAGAAACACTGCCAGCTTCTCTGGGCCTGAACCCATCCGAGATGGACTGATGCAACATAAATGTGTGCTGTGGTCTGACAAGTCCACATTTCCAATTGTTTTTGGAACTGATAGATGTCGTGGCCTCTGAACCAAAGAGTAAATGGGTCACCCGGATTGTTATCAACGCAAGTTTAAAAGCCAGCATCTGAGATGGTATTGGGGGTGTGTTAGTGCCCATGGCATGGGTAACTTGCACATCTGTGAAGGCACCATTAATACTGTAAGGCAGCAGTCCACAACCTTTTTTGCGCCACGGACCGGTTTATGCCCGACAATATTTTCATGGACCGGCCTTTAAGGTGTCGCGGATAAATATAACAAAATAAAACTAGTACCGGTACCGAAAAAAAGAACATTTATTCATAACACACGTGAAAAGATCAAGGAAAACCGAGTAAACGATAAAAACGATAACAAAATAACGCTTAAAACCGATAAAAACCCTGAAAACTATACATTTCACACCTGAGCCTCACTCTCGCGGCCCGGTACCAAACGACTCACGGACCGGTACCGGTCTGAGGCCCGGGGGTTGGGGACCGCTGCTGTAAGGTACATACAGGTTTGGGAGCAACATATGCTGCCATCCAAGCAATATATTTTTCACGGACCTGCCTTCTTATTTCAGCAGGACAATGTGAAGCCACGTTCTGCATGTGTTACAACAGTGTGGCTTTGTAGCAAAAGACTACAGGTACTAGAGTGGCCTGACTGCAGTCCAGACCTGTCTCCCATTTAAAATGTGTGTCACATTATGAAGCTTCTGTCCTGTGCCACATCATCAATAAACACTAGTGTTCCACTGCCACTGGCAGCTATGGATGCCCGAGCCATCACACTGCCTTTGCTGTGTTTTACAGATGATGTAGTATGCTTTGGATCATGTTCCATGCCTTCTCCCTTCTTTTTTTTCGCTGTCATTCTGATAGAGGTTGATCTTGGTTTTATCTGTTAAAAGTATGTTTTTCCATGTTTTTCTATTCTTGAGGCATATTAGTGGCTTGCACATTGCAGTTAACCCTCTGGATTTAATTTCATGCAATCTTTCCTTTATTGAAGACTTATATATCCATACGCCTAACTCCTGGAGAGTGCTGTTCCCATAGTTGGCTATCGTGAAGGCAGGGCTCTAGACTAACTTTTTGCCACAGCACAGGGGACCTTTATCGCGGCATATAATGTGTGTTTTAATTGTGTGTTTCAGTTCGAAACATATTAGCGGCAGTCACAAATGCAGTATTGCCGGCCATGATCTTTCCACACTCACAACAGTAAATGCAGTGCATCATATTGTCAGATTTACTGTATCTTAGCCAGGGAAACTGGTCAAGCCACTTTCTTCAATTTGTATACACTTTTAAATTAATTCCCCCCTGGGCTTTAGCTTGGAGTCTATCATTTTTTGGCTTTTTATAGCATATAACTGCCTTAAAAATATTCTGCAGTGAATCAAAAACTGAAGAACACATTGAATCAACATATGATCATTACCCAATGCTACTGAAGTGAAGCAGAGGAAAGTTAGAGGTTTTGCTAAGTATTTTGCAATTTTGGCAAAAAAAAAAACAAAAAACAAAAAAACAAAAAAAAACAGAGGCCGACAGCACTGTCCATGACTTGTGCGTAATCATTGACTGTAGAAAACATGGACGATGCGACAGCGCCCCAAAAATGAAGCCAAAACATCTCTATCGACCCCTGGTGTCTGGCTGCAGTATAGGTCATAAACCCTGCCTCCTCCATGTTAGTGGATGGAACTGGGGTCAGACTAAAATAAATAAATTCTCCTTAGATAATTTTTTTCCAAAGATTCTTTCTTTTGTTATCAATAGTTCTCCTCATGCTGATTGATGTCCAAGGGTCATCATGTCCAAGGCATCTCCGTTCCCATAAGTTTGATTATAATTCCTACCGCGGTGATGTTAAATTGGGGTGAAACGTCATCATAACAGCTTTGACTGGCAGCTGCAGTCACGGAGAAACTTGCGTATATCTGTTCGGGAATAGCAGATAGAGCGTAGGCTCTGAGAGGAGGGCCAGCGTTTACGCTACGAAAACACGACTGAGTGTTTTAACCTGACAGCCTGAGGTGTTCTTCAGTAAACTGGACTAGCTGACAGAAGGA